TTTTATAGAAAATTTAATCTTTTGGTTAGGTATATACTTAATAAATTTATCATTTATATATCAAGAATCGAATTTATTTGTTCATTCACCTAAATGTCTTGAAATTCTCTTTTTTGCACTAAAATGTGATAAATGGAACAACTTTAATTGTTGAAAAGTCACTTTGACTTAACTTATCTCAAAGACACATTATATTAAAAAGTGGACAAATGTGGGTAAAATCTACTTAATATGAAAGTTAGGAACAAAAATGAAAAAAATTATCTGAAATATACCTACATAATACTGGAAAAATAAAGTTTTATTAAATAAATAATTTATAAATAAACAAAACAATTATCGTATCTACAATTCAAAATTGCTTAGTTTATTATTGTCTTCTTATACAAGTAAAAAAATATTAATAAAACACTAAAGTTAAGTATAAAAAAAATATTATTTATATACCAAGAATCAAACTTATTTGTCTATTTGATAAAATGTAACTATTTTCTGGTTTTTTGAATTGCGCTCTTTTGCACTAAAATGTGACAGATAGAGCAATCAAAGTCACATTTTATAAAATACCTTTAATTATTCAAATGACACTTTGACTTAATTTAACTCAAAGACACATTATGTCATAAAGTGGACAAATGTCGATGAAATCTAGTTTATATAAAAGTTTGAAAGCAAAATTAAAAAATAATAGTCTGAAACACATAGTATTGTAAAAATAATGTTATATTAAAAAAACATTTACAATAACAAGTAAAAACAAAAATTTATCGTTGTAATCACGATTTAAAACTGCCTTATTTAATTTATAGTTTAGAGAGATTTTAGGTAGGTACTACAAATATTTTTTTTTATTTTTAATAAAAAATTAAAACTTATGATTTTATAATAAGTTTATTATACATATATGTATACCAAGAATTAAACTCATTTGTCCATTTGGTTCATGCAACTATACTGGTTTTTTGAAATTTACTCTTTTGCATTCAAATGTGGCAAATAAAATAATCATAATTACATTTTATAAAATAACTTTAATTATTGAAAAGTCACTTTGAGTTGATTTATCTCAGTGGCACATTTCGTTAAAAAGTGAACAAAAGTGGGTGAAACTTGGTTTATGCAGATATGTCTTAAACAAAAATGTGGCAAATAAAATAATCAAAATTACATTTTATAAAATAACTTTAATTATTGAAAAGTCACTTTGAGTTGACTTATCTCAGTGGCACATTTCGGTAAAAAGTGAACAAAAGTCGGCGAAACTTGATTTTTGTAGGTATGTTTTAAACAAAAATGAAAAAATGAGAATACTTTGAAACAGATATTTTAAAAAATAGGTTATATTTAAAAAAATATTTATAAAAAAAACAAAGAATTATTTTTAAAGTAACAATTCAAGCTTTTTATTGGTTAAGTCTGAAATTGTTTTGGTGAAAACTGGCGGAAAATTCAAATATCAAAATATGTAAAAAAAAATATTTAACTTTTTTTACACAAAATTACTATTTTTGTAGTCGCTTCGCTCATTTTTGCGTGTTTTTTTAGTGGAATATTGTTGGTTGCCTACTTGAAAAATGGAGTAAAAATCCCATAGAAAGAATAAATATTGCAAGAAATGTTTTATTAATATTAATTGTAGTTATATGTGAAAATATTGACATTTCGTTATGTTTACCATATGTTAATTCTTACTATAAATGATTATGTTTGCGGAGTTGTAGACTTTTTCTAATGCTTACCGACTTTATATAACAGTTGCAGGTGTTCTGCGGTAACAGGTGGAAGTGCGTACCCCCTAATCAGTCAATTAATGCAAAAAAAAACATAATTTGTCATTAAATTAGATCAGTAACAGAAAACAGGAGTGTACCAGAGCACAATTTCTCAATTTTTGTAGGAAAAATCCTTGAAACGATCCACCGAAGGGTCACTAAGGTCACTTCCTCTTAATTGCCTCACAAATTTCTTAATTGACAAGTCGTGTCATTTAAATATAAAGCCTATGTGAACAAGATGATATCTCTTATGCAAATCGGCGACCTTTGTCGAATTTCCCGAATTTAGCGCATCCTCGGAGGTCACTCATTACATAAAATCCGAATGTCAAGTGGTCCTCCACTTTCTCCCTTTCCATTAGGCCCAATTTCGGGTAATTCACACAAAACTTCGGGGCTCCTGCAGGACCAAGTTCGCGCCTCCGACGATGGTCGACCTCCTCCGAGGCGCTTCGGTCCTCACTTTCATATGTCTTCGGTCTGGTAACACACTGCAGCTATCCTCAATAGCCACCGCTGGTTTTTGCATTGGTGCTGTGCGCGATGTGTTTGCCCAGCTGGATAGCCTTCAAGGCCAGTGATAACGTGCAGTGATAAAGGATAATGGACCTGGATGGAGAGCGAGTTGTCACAGGTGAGAAAGCGCCACCAGAATCACCCGATTTGTCCCCTCTTGATTTTTTCGAAAAATTTTTACCCGCATTTGACATTTAAATTGAGATCTCAACAATGCCCCGAGTGGGCGTCTTTTTTACATTCTCGACTTAATTTCCCTAATAGATTGGGCGAGGAGGAAACGGTATTAAAATGAAGTTAATTGTTACGACATGCCGTTGTCGCCGAAGGCTATGGCAAGGTCTCTAGATCCCAAAAATGATTTATTCCGAAAAATCTGGTTAAATTTCACTACGCCTACTAAATCACTATTTTAATTAGCTTAATTTTGCCTCGGTTTATAATTTTAGAAAGGTAATTGCCACGAAAGGGTCTCGATGATTGTTTCATTTAAATATCAAAATAATTAATTTTCACTAATGCGTTGTAATTTATGTGTGGGGGGGGGGGGGTTTGGTCTCTTTTGTTTTACTTGGATTTCCCACATTTGATAAAAATTGGAACAATTGTTGTGTTATAAAATTTATGATAAGGGCGACCTTGAAAATGGGTGTTTGTGGAACAATGGGAGAGATTGTCAAGTTCAGATGGGTTTGGTGTGCGCTTGGGGATAGTCAAAATTTTTGGTCACAGTGGCTGTGAGTGTTTTACTTTTTTATTTGTGCGGATTTGTAAAAACTACTTTTTATTTAATTTTTAAAAATGTCTCTTATTTATCGAGAAATAAGATTTTTAGTAGAAACTGAAAACTGTATTAGAATTGCAGTATTCAAGTTGGCTGTGGAAACAACAAAATGTCAAAATTTAATGGCTTGTTTAATGTTATTTGTTCGAGAAACTAGCAATTACTGAAATTTATTTGTAAATTTTGAAAATTATGCTTAAAAAATAACTCAAAAAATGCACACGCTGTATAATAATATAGGTATACCAGTGAATCAGAGAATTATTTGAGGTATATTCTGAAATGTCAAACTTTTTTTCTGAGAATCAAGTTTTTTATTTTTTATTATTTTTTAATTTTTTTTTAATATTTATTTAATCTTATTCTTTTGTAAATAATAAGCAATTATAAAAGTAAATAAATATCTATTAAGAATTACTAAGAATTTTTGGATTTTGGATATTTCTAAAATTCTTGAAAAATATAAGAAATTTTACGAAATGCTTTAGATACTCTTTTTATTAAAAAATTTAACAATTATGTTTTTTGCTTAAAGTGAAAACATTTTTTTAGTTAATTTACCTTATTATCGGTTTCGAATTGCTGACAATTCGTGTTGGGATGTTTTATTAATTAAATTTCTGATCAAAGTGACCTGTGAACTTGAAATTAAGTTGGCAACATTGAATAATCTACAGACTGAAGATAAGAAGACATGTCAATTTTTATTCAATCCTCGTATCCTACGCTTCTACATCACACAATGTTGCCAACTTAGTAGCAAAATTAATAAATAATAATGTGAATAAACATTTATTTAGACTTTTTAAGAAGTTTTAATTTAATTGCTCTATCTACACAATTTTTGATAAATATTAAAATTTTTGCGAAATTTTCCACTCTGTATATCAAAAATTTTGCGGTTTATTTTTTGAAATAAATTTTATTTAACAGTTTTATTCAAATTGTCTTATTATCTGTCTCACATTACTAAAAACTTGTGTTGTCATTTTGTAATTTAATTAAATTTCTGATTAAAGTGATCTGTGAACCTTACAACATTGAATAATCTAGATCTATTTCTAGAAATAGAAGATAAAAAACATATGTCAATTTTTTTTAATAAACAATAATATTGTAACAGTCAGTAAACATTTACTAAGACTTTTAAGAAGTTTTAATAAAATTTGGTATACTTTATAATCTGACATACAGAGCGTTTAATTTTTACAATTTTTGAAAACTATTAGGAGTAGAATTTTTGTGAAATCTTTCAATCCGTACATCAAAAAGTTTGTCGTTTATTTTAATCTAGTGACAGAAAAAAAAACAAATTAATTGTCGTATTGCCAACTTAGTAGCAAAATTGCATTTTTTTTATTTTTTATTATTTTGTATTAATAAACAATAATATTGCAACAGTGAATAAACTTTTTAAGAAGTTTAAATTTAATTTGCTATACTCACACTGACGTACAGAGTGTTTAATTTTACGATTTTTGAAAAATATTAGAAATATTGCAAAATTCTCAAAAATTTGAAACAAATTTTGTTTTTTGCTAAAACTGATAATTTTAGTCTTAGTGTCTGTTTCAAAATGCCATTTTGTCAATTACTCAAATCAACCGGAAACTAAATGATCAAATTGTTAATTTATTGTAGCCATGAACTAAATACTGGAATTATACAGAGCGATATCTAAAAAATTCGACTTTGCTTGTATACAGAGTGCTTTTTGCGCACCTGGCCTTGGCATCAACAATCTTAAACAGATGTTACATAATTAATTAAAATATTTTTATTATATTATGTTATAAAAGGAAGTAATAAAAATTCACACTTTTGTACAAACTTTTATCTCCAAATAAACAATAAACGTATCAAGGCATATTTTTCTGAAATTCTCACACTATTGTGTGAAAAACATCCGGGTCTGGTCCGGCCCTGTAAGCGCTCCGGAAAAGTACCGGAAATCGAGCGTTTTGTCAGTAATGATTTGAGAATTTGTTCTCTCATATTTTTAATATGAACAATGAGGTATTTGTTTTTGTAAAACTTTCAATTTTCTCTCGATCTAAATAACGGAAACGTGTTATTTTCATTCCACTGCTCGCGTAAATAATAATTATTCTTTACAAGAGATTAGTTAATTTCAAATTTGTGAAACTGCGCACATGAATTGGCAATAAATCGTATGAAAGTTTGCAAATTTTAGACCTCTGACATTGTTTTTGGTTCTTGAGCAGAAACTGGTCGTTTTTTTCCAAGATTCTTCCAATTTCTACCGAATTGTGCGCCCGGAGCCACGGTTATTTATAGCAAGTGAGAGGAGTTTTTGTAATGCGTTTAATCGGATTGTCGAAAACCAACAACTTGACCACTCGTGAAGAAATTGCCACCGGAGGCGAGTTTTGAAAGGGAAACTCCTAATTCGTTTGTTTGTGGCCACAATTGGAGATTTGGGCCGAAAATTTGCGACAATTACGTAATGTGAAAGCCGGGAAAAATCACACGATCGGCAATTAATCTCAATTAATTATTAATTCGCATCTTTTGTGCATTGGGCATCTAATGACCTTTGAAATTGCTTTGTTTACGTAACTGAGAAATAATAAAGTGAGTAGACGGACTTTCTTCGGTTTATACAGGTCACCTTATATAAGATTGTTTGCTTTCTATAATAATATGTTAGCAGTTTGGCAACTCATTTATGGGAGAAAAATTGCAAAAAAAGAACAATTTGTACAGATTAGAAAGGGGTTGGCTAATATAATTATCGAGATTTTTCTTTCGAAGCCTTGACTTTAACACGTTCTCTCAACGAAGGTTATTTAGCAATTAAAGAATTTGATATTTTGTACCAATCTTGTCAAAGGTTTATTTGTTGTTCAGGCCGGGCCTGAACGAGTTTGACTGATAAAAACCGGATCATTTGGCAATAAATTGTTTTCAGAACTAGTAATTGGGAAAGAAAACGAAAAAATACGTTTAGAACCCAAGAAATCTGTAAAAAATTTTAAAACTTTACTTCAAAAGTAAAATTGTGCGTATTGATAAATGAAGCTTTAGTTAATGTTTTGCTAAAGAGAAATAATCTTTTTTTTAATATAAATAAATTTAATATAATTTGACTTTTGGTTTTGTGTTTTAATATGCTTTTTATGTAATTCTACTACACACAATGTAAACTTTGTATATTTCTTTAAATGTAACACTCATGAAACAATTTTTTCACAAACTTGGAATTGAAAATTTCTTAAGTACTTTTAAATTTGTTATTTTTAAAATTTTTGAGATTGTTTTTGTATTTTTTGTTGTTTTTTTCAGTGTCATTTCTATTGTTTTAAAATTGCACAAAAATATGGTATTGTCTTTCTTAACTTTTTTTGATATTTATGGAGACTTTGCCATTGATTAATTTTTTGTAATATTTATTTTTATCTAGGTATTGTATTTTTTTGTACAAGAAAAAACAAAAAACTACTTATTTATTAGAACTTAAAAAATTAAGAAGCTTTTTAATGTACAGTAGTTACCTAATTCAGAAAGCGGCGTTGCCAGCATATTTAATTTTTTGAGAAAAAGTTGGAAATAGATACATATTTTAAGCCATTTTTTTCAAAAATTTTATTTAATATTTTTACAATAGAAAGGTAGAATTTTGCATTTTTTTAAATGTAGTGTTTACATCATTTTTAAACAGAGTAATGCTAACAAAAATCATTGTTTTTAATTCATGTTTTAAGAAAAATACATTCTTTGGTTTTAATACTTTTAATTCTTTCAGAAACATTGCTAATGATAATAAGGTAAGGTAAGATAATAAAGTAAAATTTAGGTTGTTAAATAGGGAGGTCAACTTTAAATTTTTAATAAACTGCTCCACAAAAGTTAAAGAAGTGTGCAATAATTACAATAATTAATTAAATTAATAAATTATTAAAAAAATAATTAATAATTGGTTAAAAGTGAGATAAAGGCAGATATCTTTTTACGTTTGTTTTTGCTGGATTCTCCAATGAATAAAAGTCGTTTATTGTAAAAATAATGCGACTTTCTTAACTTTTGTGGAGCAGTTTAATTAAATGTTTTTAAAGATTTAATTAACATTTTTTATTATATACAGGGTGTTTTTTATTATTGCGAAGAATTGCAATCATATATTCTACATTGAAAAATAACACTAATTTGTCAAATAGTAGACCTATAAAGCTTCGTTACCGATATACAGAGTGATAAAATTACATGATATAAATTGAAATTGAATTAAAATTAATTAATTCCTCTAAAACTACTTGACTTATTTTTATAAAATTTTACAGACTTTATGACCCATTAAAAATGCTTATTTTTAC